CCCGATTTTCTCCACGACAGCGGCCATGACCTTGGAAAACACGACCACTCCGTATGACGTGCTTTGTAACAGCAGCTCGACCTTTGACCATCTGAACTGGACACATGGCTGCCCTTATCCGGGCTCCCTGCACACCAAGTACGGCCTCGTGGCTCAGACAATTGTGGGCGTGGTCTGTTTCGCCATCCTGGCGGTGGGCGTGCCAACCAACCTGCTCATCATCACCAGCATCTGCGCCTTCCGCTGTGTGCGCACGCGCAACAACGTGTTCCTGGCCAGCCTGGCAGCTAAAGATATCGTCTTTCTCACGCTCGCGGCCCCGATATTTGCCTTCGACTTTATCCAGGTAATTAAGATAAAAACGACAATCCTTATCATCATTGTCTTTCTCGCCCTGGATCAATGTATAGGCCACGAATAAACACGTTCCACCATTCCTTATCTTGGGCTAGCTTCTTGGTGTTATTCCATGACAAAAAGAACAATAACCATGCATAACAATATACAGTAAATCCCCGATAATTCGAACTTTATGAGACTAGAGGGTTTCCTCGTATTAACCAGATTTCTTTCTTAAAGAACAGTTACAATGTATAGAATAAAACAAAGGGGAAACGCAGAGGTTTAATTAACCTCCTTTCGTGATAACAGGAATTTCATGTTGAACGGCTTCGTGCTTAAATTTACAAAGTATACTGTATACATGTAACTGTAACTACCATTACACCCCCCCTCCAATCTGGACAATTTCAATGATTGTATTATTATATGGGATTGTTTTGCTTTGTTTTACCCTGCCTGTCGAGACCGGACTGAGTGGGACACATGTACAACAGTTCAGCACGACCCAGACAAAGTCAATCAATAGTGAAAAACTATCCCCATCCGTGAACCGAAGCCCCCATACCTCCGTTCCCTTCAATCTCAACTTCCTGCCAACCATTCTATTCCCACCTTATCTAAAAAAAAGACCCCAAAAGCAAAATCAAAACCGCTATCCTCGTCATCTTCATCCTCATCTTCCTCTTCCTCTTCCTCCTCCTCCTCCCCCTCCTCCTCCTCCT